CCTGACGCTCCGCTTCACCTTCACACACTCACACCCGGCACTTCCCGAGCGCTGCTCCGACGCCCGGCTCCCACCCCGCGCTGCGGCCGCTCCTCGCGTCCGTGTAAAGAATGCACCACCTCGGATTCACCTTCCCGGCGCTGCCCCCCGAGGGTGGCTGGAGCCTCGGCCCGCGCCAGCCCCGCGCCGACCCAGTCGGGTGGCGGGGACTCGCTCCTGCGGGCGGGGGGCCGCACCCGCCGTCCCCGGCCTCCCCACCGCTCCTCGCCGCTCACCTCTGCGCCCGCGCCACGGCTCGCAGCCTCCGCCCGCCTCGCGCTCCGGGACTCGTCCCCGCCAGGGGCTGGAGCGCCTCCTTTCTCTCCCGGGGACTCCGAGTCTCCCCGCCGCTTCCCGCCCTCCCCGCCCCACACACCCTCCCCAAACCCCAACTCCCCGAGCTCCCCTCCGCCGATGCAACTCCCCGTTCTCCGCACGCTCGGCTCCGGGCAGCGCTGCCCGCACACAACAGCGCGCACGGCGCCGCCGGGCTGCGCGCAGGAAGGGCAGTCGCGGCCCGGGGGTGGGGACGCGGCGCCCCCCGCCTCCCGCCCGCCCTCGTGGCCCCCGGGGAAGGCGCGGTTACCGGCTCACGGTCGGTCACGCCGTCAGGTGCCGGCTGCCGTCGGCGCTGACCTTCGCCGCCCAGGCTGGGGCTGAGACTGTGGCCGCCATGTTCCCGTGTTAATAACTGCTGCCTGGTTGTTTATTTCAATGGAGATCCTCCCCCAACCCTCCGCCTCCTCCTCCGCCGCCGCCGCCGCCGCCGCCTCGGCGTCTCCGCACTTGCGGAGAGACACAGACCGCGCGAGCTCGTGAGCAGGGGAGGGGGCGCGGGGCTGGCCGGTCCCTCCCACCGCTCCGGGCCGCGGCCGCCGCCTGTCACCACGGAGAGCGCGGGGCGGAAACTTGCCGCCCGCGCCCCCGACCGGAGAGCAAAGGTGGCCCGAGGCTGCTCCCGGGAGACGCAGAGCCCGCAGGCGGGGTCCGCAGCATCTCCGCCTGCGGGGGGTGGGGGGGTCCTCGGGGGAAAGGCTGGGGAGCGGGATGGGGAGTCCGTGGGTGACTGTGGCCGAGCGAGGACGACCTGAGGGCGACTGGAAGTGCAGGCAAAGTAAACAGGACTCCATGCGAGGGCAAAGGGCAGTGCCAAAAAGAAAGCTAGCAAGTGGCACGGGACGGGGACCGTGGGCTTGCACACCACGGGGACGGCTCCCCTAGACGATGATCGGGGAGATCCAAATGTCAGGTTGGCAACCCCGAAAGGAGCCTTTAGCCCCGCGCTCGGGGACGGGCTCCCCACTGCCAGCACCCTGCGCCCCACGGGCGCACCTGGCGCGCGCGCGCACGAGCACAAACGCGACCCAGCCTGCTGAGGCTCCCTGGAGGCGCCCCTCGGCGGTCAAGTGGTCAAGTCCCTCGGTCTGTCGACGGCCCGCTGCCCCAAAGCAGCCGGTCTCAAGAGGGGATGGAGGGGCGCGATTGTGGGCGTTGAGCTTAAAGGGGTGCGGCCCAGCAATTGCTTGATGAAGCTAAAGCTGCACACAGGGCTTAAATTAAAACCTAACCTGGCCGAGCGTTTCCCCCCCACGCTGTAAGGACACAAAAATGTGTTTTTCTTTTTTCATTGGGAAGTTCACTCCCAACCTCAGCAGAGAATGGCAAACGAGGTTAGATATAATTAGTTGAAAGAAAAATGAGTAGCGTTTGTGTAACCACAATTTCCCAAACTATGAAAGAATCATATTTCCTTGTTTTTCATATTTCAACGAGAAGGGTCAATGTCGCTATAGATAATAGTCTTTATTCAAAATGTTAAAATAAGGATACAGGTTGAACAATTGTAACAATGAGAGGTACAAGACACAATGTTGAAAACGAACTTTACAACTGGGTGGCGGGGAGGGAGGAGGTGCAGAGGTGGGAGGGAAGGGATGGTAGGGGGAAAACAAAGGAGGTAACAATGCTTGATAGGAAATGTACTCATTACCTTACTCATGTAACTGTCACCCCTCTGTACAGTGGTTTTACAATAAAAAAATAAGTAGTTAAAACCTAAAAAAATAAGTGTTTATTGAGCACTTACTGTTTGTCTGGCACTATGTTGCAATTTACAAGTTTTAACTCTCAGCCCTCAAAAAGTAATTTTATATACTTTACAATACACACACACACACACAAAGCTTGAAGTGATTTTTGTAGGGTCATGCACATGTCAAGCAAGGAGAAGATAAGAGCCCACGTCTAGTGAGCTCAGACCTTTCATAACCTTTTCAACCCCCCCTCCCCGACTGTGGGAATGGCACCAATTTGAGTAAAGGAAAAAAGTGCCTAAATATGACTAGAAAATATTTGGAAGACTAGAACATGTTAGCACTGGGAGAGTAGAAGAAGAATGCAATTGGTTAGACCATATATTGTCAGTTTTCAATTTTTTAACTTAAACTAGCTGGAATAGCAGAATTATGCTCCCTAAAAACAAAGTATTCCCAAAACTTGGTGGAGGAAATAGAAAATGGAGAGGTTCATTTGTTGGTTGTGGGGCTTGAACTCAAGACTTGGGTACTGTCCCTCAGCTTTTTCAGCTCAAAGCTAGCCCTCTGCCACTTTGAGCCACAGCACCACTTCCTGTTTTCCTGTTTTGTGGTTAATTGGAGATAAGAGTCTCAGACTTCCCTGTCCTGACAGGCTTTGAACGGGATCCTCAGATCTCAGCCTTCTGAGTAGCTAGGATTGCAGGCATAAGCACCTGTTCCTGGCACATGGAGTTTTATAGCCTTTATCTTTCATTAGTACTACTCTGTAATGTTCTTGCAATGAAATGCTACTCATGTGACATCTATCCCATTTCTCAGATTTTTGTCCTTATCCCCAACTGCACATTATAAGAAGAAAAGATTCTTCCTGCCCTGCACTGGTGACTAATGCCTGTAATCCTAGCTACTAAGGAGGTTGAGGTCTGAGGATCACATTTCAAAGCCAGCATGAAAGAAAGTCCACAAGACTCTAATCTCCAATTCCAGAAGACCAGATGTGGTGCTGTGGGTCAAGTGGTAGAGCACTAGCCTTGAGCTAAAGACCTCAGGGACAGCACTCAGGCCCATAGTTCAAGCCCCATGACTGATAATAAATAAATAAATAATATTCTTCCTGCTTTTTCCCCCTCCTGTTTTTTGGTAGGAGTCCAGAGTCCATCAGTCCTGCCACAGCAGATTTAACACTTTCAAAAACTATCCATGATGTCTGTGCAAACGACTTCCCATTATATTGCTGTATTACTCAGTAAAACTTTTTTTTTTTTTAGCATTTAAAGTGTATCTGGCCTGTTTATTCTTTCAATATGGCTACTCAAAAATTTATAATTGCCTATGCAGCTCACATTTGTGGTTCCAGTGGCTTAAAGCTTTGGCTAGGCTTTGGGTCCAGATCTACCTTTGCCTCATGCCCCTCCCTTAGCCAATTTCAGTAAAACTTCTTACTGCATGCTTAAGATACAGGACTGTTCCCACAATAAATAAATAAATGCACAGAAAATCTGACAGCATAGTACAATGAGTTCCACATTCAGCTGCTACTCAGTTGTGTTGAACCTGGAGAAATCATGTAGCATCTAATAGTCTCTAGGCTCCCTTTTGTACTAAAGTTCTTTATATGATCACCTTAGCTATAAGTTGCTCAGGGCCTAGGAATCTTAAGTTATTCTTTGTATAAGCTGGAGTACCTAACAAAAGATTGCATAAGGTTCATTGATGAATTGGGTTCATGTGAGACCACAAATAATTTTTATTAAAGCTATTCATAATTATTAGTGAATTATCACTGTGATCATGTAAAATAAAAAGGGTTAAAAAAGAAAGAAAAAGGGTAGTGTTGAGTTCTGGTGACTCACACCTATAATCCAAGCTACTCAGGAGGCTGAGATCTGAGGATCACAATTCGAAGCCAGCCCAGGCAGAAAAGTCCATGTGAGACTCTTATCTCCAGTTTACTCAAAAACCAGAAGTGGTGCTGTTGCTCAAGTGGTAGAACGCTAGTCTTGAGCACAAAGAGGCTCAAGGCCCAGGCCCTGAGCCCCACAACTGACAAAAAAAAGCGGGGTGGGGGGTAAAGTTGATTTAATGACACAAAAGAAAAAGAAAGAAAAAATATAGTAACTAGGTGTATAATCAAAACAAAATGACCCCAAAAGGAAAGAATGTGGGTGCAAATCATAAAAAAGAAGGAAATGATTGAAATTTAGTAGAAGCAGAAACAACAGATCATGGATGTATGAGTCAAACTAAAGTATCAACAGAAGCATAAATACAGCATGAAATATAAAGAAGAAAATGATAAATTGTGTATTCAAATATAAGAAAAACCAGGTCAGGTGCCAGTGGCTCACAGTAGCTACTCAGGATGCTGAGATTTGAGGATTGTGGTTCAAAGCCAGGTCAGCCAGGAAAGTCCGTGAGATTCTTATCTCCAATAAACTACCAAAAGATGAAGTTGGAGCTATGACTCAAGTGGTAGAGTGCTAGGCTTTGAGCCAAAAAGAAGCTCAGGTTCAGCACCCAAGCCAGCACAAAAAAATAACTAGAAAAGAATATAAGAAAAATCAAAAAAAATACAAGAATTTCTGGGTTTGTCTGCCCTCAATTTTCAAGGTAGTTGCTTTTGTCATACATAGGCTACATAAAAATGAGAGATTCTATTCCTTTTTTCTATTAACCTGCTAACATGCATCATAATACGCTGAAAGTAAAACAAGATGGTAAAAAGTTATAGAAGATAGTATACGTGACAAGAAATGTGCTTTGTTACTTACATGTCACTAAATATTGCAATTTCTTCATATGTATAATTATTGGAACTTAAAATAGTGTAAATAAATGTATGCAATTAGGTATCATGTTCTTTACACATATTTAAGAAAATATGCTGGCAAACATTCTCAAATGCAAAAACAACAACTTTATTAAAAACACAATCATTACTTTAACTCCCATTTCCTACATATGGAACAGGAAATGGTTCTCTATTTTCCCCATTTTTCTTTCTTCCTGTTATAGCTGCTAAAACTTGCAAAAATAGTAATTATTTTCCAGCACCAGTGGTTCATGCCTATAATTCTACCTACTTAAGAGACCAAGACTTGAGAATCATAGTTCAAAGCCTGCCTCAGAAATAGGTCCATGAGGGTCTATGTCCATTAACCAGCAAAAAGTTAGATTGGAGGCATTCACAGTGGTAGAGTGCCAGCCCCTGAAGAGACACAGCTGAGTTCAAGCCTAGGTACCAGCACACACACACACACACACACACACACACACACACACACACCACATTTATTGCACTATCCAGTACAATGAAGTAAGAAAATGAGAAAGAAAACAAAACCATCTTTATTCATTGATGAAATGATAGTGCACATATAGCTGAGCTCCAGTGACTCACACGTAGCTACTCAGGAGTCTGAGATATGAGGATTACAATTCAAAGCCAGCCAAAGCAGGAAAGTCCATGAGACTCTTATTTCCAATTAACCACCAGAAAACCAGAAGTTACACAGTGACTCAAGTGGTAGAGCACTCTTCTTGAGCTCAGAGTTCAAGCCCCATGACCCCCCCCCAAATAAAATTCAAACGTATCTATAAAATACTAAAATTAAGAATATAGGATAGCTGAGTGCCAATG